CGCAATTAAAAGATTACTAAATGGGAGAGGAAAAAAATCAAAATTAAGTTTTACTTTTTAAGTTGTTGTGAAGAATCTCTTAGTTGCTGTTACATAAATGTATTATCAACTTTCTGATCTTTACAGTTTTAGAAGATCTTAAGCTAAAAAATCACAGGTGACTTTGCTAAAGTTAGCTTTCCTATTCAAAGGAATCCATGAGCTTAGGCATTAAGAGAGGTGGAGAGAGGTTTAAGACACGTGTAGCTTTTGTCTCTATAACTAAGAAACCACTCTGAGCTGCAAATTGCATTAGCTTTCAGCTTACATTTGGTTGTCAGAAAATCTCCAACACAGCATCAAAGTACTTTGAATAACGCAAGAACCCGTGCGGCACTTGAGCACTTCTGCACCGAAGGGGGCCATGTTCAGTTCTCACGTGGCAGGTTACTGGAACCAAGTTTAAGCAGTTAAAAATAAATTGAATAGCAAAGCCATTCTACTAAGCAATGCATGTTAACCAAAATGAAAGCTATGGGATTTACTGAAAAGCATTTGCTTCTGTTAGCTCATTTTGCTTTTGCAGTGCAGAGATTCGAACATCTGAAAGATTTTGGGATTGATCCTGTATGGTAAATATCCGCCTTTAGCCTGGCTGTCAGTGGAGCTGACTGGCTCTGCAGATCACTTGCAGGAATATTCATCGCAAATGGGTTAGCACTCGGGTAGCTGCGTCCCCACGCTTGTTGCAAGAGCGGTCCTGGAGGTTGTTTGTGCACTTGTAACCTTTAAAAATAGTTCACTGTGTGTTTACCTGTTTGAACAGAGCAGTATAAAAGCAATTACCTTGATTTGAGTAGGAAAGGCTAGGAATAGATACAAACACACACAACTATTACACTTTATCCTTACACAAAGTTTCAAACAGCTGCTGACATAGAGCGTTTTTCTGAAGTCATCTTGCTCTGAGAGGTTATTTCTTTTCCTGCCTTACTCTTTCACCCTGCGTGTTTTTCTTTTGATGCTTCAGTGCCAAATACTTGGGTTGCATTGAGTGCTTTGAAGCTTTGTGTAGGCAGCTCCGTGGTGCGATATTCTAGATGGCCCCTTGCCATGGGGGGGCTGTGGGGCAGGGAGGAGGTGGTTTAAAAAAAAAAAAAAACCCTCTAACCCCAGCAACAACATTAGATGTTCTGACAGTGAAATACTGCCCGTCTTTCCCTGGCTCTCGTGTGAAATGATCTGGCAAAACAGATACTGCAAAAATAATGCATTTTGTGTCTGCCTTCTCAAATGATAAATGTTCCTGTCTCTGTGGAGAATTTCTTAGCAAGTGCTGATTATTTTGCTAATGGAAAGCATCAGTGTTTCAAATATGTTTGTAATGCGGTAAACAAAGTTGCTTAGTTGCTTCTACTCAGTCTTCTGGGCAATCAGCAATCCACTCCCCAGAAGTGGGTTTCAGCCGTGACTCTAACTTTTCGTAAGTTTTCATGATGACACTCACTTATTTACAGCAGAGCTGAAACAGCTTTCTCACCTTTACTAGCAGTACAAATGTACCAATGTTGGAAATATGGGTGAGAATTTTGAGTTTCTCTTATTGTCAATGAATATGGGAATACTGGGAGATAGGGGGAGTTGATATTTATTTTATTATTATTTTTTTTAATATTGCATCAACAATTTCATTTATTTTCAGTGGCAGGAAAATGGAAAATTAAAGTGGTGTTTGAAAGAGGTGTGCAGAGTAGTAGCGCCACAAGGCAGTTTGCATCCAGAATATAGTCTGGTCTGACCCAGAAGCCAGGCTGTTCTCACTGCTCTTCATGGTGGCATTTTGCCTAATTGCAGCCCTACAGGCACAGCTGCTGTTTTGTCAAGACTATATTACAATAAAATAAATCATTACATTTTAGAAGCCTTTCAAATGTATTTTGAATGAACTTTGTTCGGTCCTGTTTTAGCCAATTTATTTAAATTAAAAACAAATTTAAAATGTAAAACCCAGTGGTGGGGAAATAATGAGAGCCTGGAGGTCAGGCAGCCTCTGGAGTGGAAGGAAGAGGCTCTGTTAATTCTGCCATGCTTTTGTTGCAGCTTTATTGGGGTTTTGTTTTCACATCTCTGCTGCAATTCAGGTCTCTTGGTTTATAATAACCAGTTTATTACAAAAACAATTGGTTTCTAGACTGAATCTAAATTCTAGCTTCACACACACAGAGTACTACAGAGGAAACGTGTAGACATGCACAGATTAAGCTGGCACCTCTTCCCTCCTAACTCCAGTCTCTGGAGCAAAGGGATTCTAAAGCCAGCTTTAGTATCCCCTTGGTGTTCTTTCCAACCACATAATTTCTCTCTGTTTTGGAGCCTTCCACTGATGACTGCAATACAACTATTTTTATGGCAATGAAAGGCTGATGTAAAATATCTATTAAATAAATGTCTTGGTGCCAAGATCCTACAGATCAAGTAAATACTCCTAGTTTGTTAAAAATGTTCTTTCAGTGTTCTAACAATTGCCTAGACAGGCTTTGTGCAAGATGTGTGGTCTTTTCAATTAGAGCTTAAATAATATCTTCTATTTCCTTCATTTTTTTAGTGTATCAGAAATTTTGTATTTAAATTGGGAAAAAAGGTATTATGAACTAGCATAATTACAAAATATTAGAATTATCAGTGCATAAATCTCTCCTGATTTATTTTGAACGTATATTGTTGTTGTTGTTAATTCTCAAGTGCTTCTGTTGTTTGAAATCAGAGTATGGCTTTTTAATGTGTTCCCACCATAGCCTAACAGGCTGGGTAGCAGTTTTCTCTGTGGTTAGAGAATGTGTTAACCTCAGTTCTCCAACCAACACAGTGACTGATCTCCTGCTGTTCTTCACTTGGTAGCCAGGCTTGAATCAATAAATCTGATGATCTGAAAACAGTCTCTTGGAGCGATGGATCTTAGAAAACTTTCTAAGAACTCCAAAGGTTAACTTCAAAGAAAACTTTTTATCAGAATCTGATTTGTGTGGCTTGAAATGAGTGATTCAAAAATTTGTGCTTGAATCCATTAATATAATAAATGTTGTTCATGGCAGTGGCCTTGGTTTTACTTGTTTTAAAATCTCCAGACTTGAATCCCATGAGATGTGAACAGGCTTTGACATAGTCAGTTAACTGGAAATGCTTAAAATTTATTTTTCTTATTGCAGGTAATATATTTTACAATAACATTTACCTGTCTGTTGCTTACTGCCTTCTACTTGCTTCAATCAACAAAGAATATCAGCTTTCTCTTCTAGACAAATCTCTGCTATCCTGAGTTCATTTTATCAATTTGGAGAGCAGAACTTGAAGCTGAGTTAATAATGGTAGAAATGGACTTGGGGAAATGAAATCAGAACTTTGCTCCCAGCTAAAGGGCAGGTAAAGAGAAAAACATCTTCCCTGCCCTGAGGAGGGGGCACAATTTGGGAGGTTTGTGTGGGACTTCCCTAGTCAAACCCAGTGTCTGGAAAGGAAATAGAAAAAAACGATTCCAACATTCTTGGAATGGGAGAGGCGCAGAATATCAAAAATTCATAGCGTGCCCAGAATGTTTACTGATTGCTGACAACTTTGTATTTTTATCCTTAGGAAATTGTCTGCCAATTATGTCTTATCAAATATTGTTTGCCTAGCAAAAAAAAATTCCTGCACATAAGTGCTTAGAGAAGTATGTCCAGTAAAGCATGCCCAAAGTATTATTTTGACTTAAACAGTTTTGTGGAAGTGAGTTGTTTTGGGGGTTCAATGTGCAGAAGCTGAGGCTTTGAGTGCTTCAGATCTTTTGCTTGGTTTACCCATCTTTCCCATCACCTGAGCCTTCCCCAGGTGCTCTGAGCCACTCTTTTTGATGCCCTTGTTCCTCCTTCTGTCTAATGTTGGTTGAGTCTTGGAGCTGATCATAATTCTATGGGTAAATTTCATTAATAAATGTTTTTAGGAGTGTTATCAGTACTTTTAATAGCCCTTTTTTTGTCTCAAGGGTAGTGCTTTGGGTTGGACTAAATGCCTGTTTCTCAACTTTGTGAGATTTTTCTCCCAATAGGGTAAGAGCTGGCAGAAACTAGCTATGTTTCACCTTTTTCATCAGGGAGGCATGATGGTATGAATAGGTTTTAAGTGGAGATAGGCTGTTTTTCAGTCAGATTGTTTGCTTTTCTTAGAGTACTGGCTATAATGGGATGACATGGCAAGGAGGAATGTTCTCAGTATTAAAGGTTTTGAAGATTGACTCCAAATAATATCATCATGCTTCTCTTGTGCATTAAATTTTTATAAGCTTCATTGTAAACGTTGATAAAGAAAAAAAAGTTGACATGCTGAAAATCAAGAGGATAAAAATTGTTTGGCATATATTTTGAATGCTTAGTCGGAGACTTTTTCATACTTTGTGAAGAGAATGTAAGGTAATGCCTACCCATAATCTATAAAGGATAGTTTTATGCTTGCATTCAGATACAGACTCGTGTGTACAGATTTGGTTTGTTTGGGTTTTTCTTGGCATGGAACATTAAGAAGATCTAGATAAGCTTATAATATAAATATTAATACTATTAAGCTCATGAAGTAGATGTCAAAAAGAATTAATTTAAGGAGGAGGAGCGTTCCAGGCTGTGATGCCACAGTGGGTTGCCAAGGATATCACTGGCTTTAAATAATTTTGTCTAGCATGTTAGGATATTTCACTATTTTTTGTCATTCAGCTGAGGGGGGGAAACTAACTGTTGTGAGAAGGAATTATTGTTTTCCCAGTGCGAAGGAGATCAATGTTTCTGCTGCGTTTCATAGTAGGGTTCTGATCATAACTCGGTTGTTCCACTTCTGTGACAGTGTCTTGGCACAACCTAACCCACTGTTAGTCAAATAAGCAAAAATAAATGGAGAAGGTCTGGGAAAGCATAATATGAAACTAAGAATTAGGCCAAATTTCAGCTGGTTCACCCAAATAACTTTGCTTTTTTTTTTTTTTTTTTGTCTTCCAGAAATACAAAGAGTATGAGAAAGACGTTGCAATAGAAGAAATTGATGGCCTTCAGCTTGTGAAAAAGTTAGCAAAGAACATGGAAGAAATGTTTCATAAAAAGTCTGAAGCTGTACGGGTAAGCAGCAGATCAATCTGCTATTTAATTCTGTAGTGCAAGTGTATAAATTAGGCTTTGATAGCTGTATTAGTGATGCAAGGTGGTGAAATGGAAATGCTAAAGTCTTCAGAAGTATTTTTGGATCCCTTCTCTACGGAATAGCTATAAATTATTTATATCATCATTGGATAAATGCGGCAGTGTGCAACAAGGTTTGTACGGCCAGTTTCCCACGTGGGATTGTAAGTTATCACTTGTGTTCAGTGCAATGTGGTGACTACAGCTGGCTCTGTATTAATACTTGGTAGACTTGATAATATCAAATGAAGAAAGACTTATTTTTTTTTGCTCTCTAGGATAAAAATAGTGTTGGCAGGGATCTTTTGAGTTCAATAGCTATGCTTTAGTTGAGATCCTGAGAAAGATGCAGATGCCTAAAATGGGACCAAATCCAAAAATCCTTTGACTGCCCTTTACTTTCAGTTATGGTGCAAAAAAAATGAAAAAAAATTGGCCATGTTTTATGGTTGCATCTTCTGGGTTGGCAGTGAGATAAAACATATTTCAGCTTGTAAACTGAGTGCGCTTGGCACAGAAAGGCAGTAAATGTGGAGCCCCGCAATGCTATTTTAACAGTGTGTCTTTTAGAGGAAAAGCTGCTGGTTATGGCTTTGTGTTAGCCCTTTTCTAATGTGAGTTTGTGAAGTGTTTATAGAACTGTGTGGGCCTTTAAAATTGCTTCGTGGGCTACTATGGGCCCCTGTGCTTTAAGTAAAAGAAACACAAGTTCTGAGGAGTTAAAGCATGTATGTAATATTGTGAGAAAGACTTTCAGTGCCACAAAATACTGTCTGAAATCCAGAACTCCTGGTGTGTTTGTCATGTTTTTCTTTAATTTCTGTAAAAGAAGCTAGAAGCTTGGTTTGGACAGGTCACTTCATTTTAAAATAGGTCTGCTTAATTTACGTTCCAGTAAAATTATTTTTCTGTAGTGGATAATTTTCTTTTTCTTATAGTAAATTCAAAGCGTGTGACTTTAGTTTGCCTGTACTGGTTAGTATTTTATGTTCTGAGAAATACGAAACCCTTTGGTGCCCTGATGGTTTTGCACTGTATGTCATTAGCTCATTTTCTCCTATCTGGAGACATGAGACCCAAGACAGGAATTTTATATGGAGGTAAGACCTGCATTCCAAATTTGAGACAAAATAATGCTGCATTTCCTTTCCTAGAGGACAGTAACATTTTGACATAAATTTTTGAGAAAAACATGTTTTAAGAGCACAAAATCCTCAAATTCTAAGTTGTTTTCAGTGATCTGCCCATGAATTGCTGTAGGTTGGCAAGTAATATTTGGGTAACTACAGAAAAAGAGTAATATGCAAACTATCCCTCTGCCCTAGAAGTACTGGAGCATCTATTAAAAGGCTTCACATCCAAATGGTAAAAAGAAAATGTGCTGATCCCATGTCACACCAAACTGGTATCCTCAACCACTTATTGCCTTTGCTTCAGGCAGTCATTAAAATCTATACTTTTATATAAAATATTTTAGGTAGCTCATTTTTAGCAACATATTTTCATCTTTTAGCAAATGTAGCAACCTGGCAACTATTCAGAAAACCTCCGTAGCTTAAGTCATTGAATTTGTAGAAAATGTCAGTAAAGCAGGGCTGGAAATACAGAGATAGGATGGCTTTTGGTGTTTTGTTTTGCTTTGCATCTTCAAACACATGAACTTGTTTGCTGCTGATCACTGTTGAACTCTCTTCTCCCTCCTCCCCCTTGAGATTTTGACTTGAATTTTTATGTTTCTGTCTCATCACTTTTCAGTGATTAGTTGGTTCAGTGTGATTTTTATCATATTCATCCCCCTGTTTGAATTACCCTTCAGTATGCAATTATCCTATCACAGAAAGTCCTATTTTGGTGCTGTCAGATACATAAAATAAATGGAAAACTGAAAGTGCTAAGCCAATTATATAACCTTTTGTCATCTGCTTACTGATAGAAACTCTTGCAAGCAACTTTTCCTCCGTGTTCACTATTTACATCAGATTTATGTCAGTTCATTATATTTGTTAACTATTTCATCCCTAATATTGTCTAACTTAGTGGAATATTGGACAGACAACTTCAGATATTTGGGAATTTTTGTGTGATGATTTAAGATAAAACCAATGAAAACTGCGTTTGATTCGATCTTGCTGATAGTTACTTTTGGTTATAATTGTGACAAATGAAGAGTTACCATCATTAAGGCCATGACATTTGCACTGGGGCAAGATCTTGGAGTCCATAAAGCAGAATAAGCACAAAGGTTTTCTGAGCTGTTCAACAGTGGTTTTAGCTTTACAGCCAAACCCAAATTATCATTTGGAGAGTCTTGTGCAATTGGCCTGTGGTATTCCTTCAATTGCTTTTCCTGGATTTTAGTGATTTCAGTTGTACAATAAGCGCTTGGGCAGTGTTAAAATTAGCTGTGTTTTTCTTTGAGAAGCCCTTGTGATGCTGGATCTCCAGTTACACTTGAGAACTGTAGAGAATAGGGCACTGTGGCATTATGGTCAGCAACAAATGGCTGCTGTAACAAACCCAACAGGAAAGAAGTGGAATTAAAACTATTGGCCTGTTGCTTTTTTAATGGTTCTATGGGAAAAATCAGTGAAAAGTGATATATGATGAGGGCAATGAAAAAGAAATTGAAATGAAAGAAAAATAGATTTTTATGGAATATAGATTATTCTGGCTTTGTGCTTAGATGCTTTTTTGGTATTCCTCTTGAAGGAAAGAAAATTCTGGAAGAATCCTAGTTTATTTACTTGTAAGATGGCATATCAAGTGTTCAGGATTGGTTTTCTTTGAAGCGACTAACATTGCTGCAGCAGAAAATGCAAATACAAGAGTTTTCCTACTATAGTTACCTGCTGTTCATTGTGGAGCTGATTCTCATTATAACTGTACTGTGAAAAGTAATTGCTGTTGTACAGTAATTCAATTTCAGTGCATTCATGCATCAGTAAGCCAGTGGGGTTTATCTAGAGAAACCCGGGACTTCAAAGCTTTTTATCGTGAAGTTCCACATGCAGAGAAATGCTTTTCCGAGTAGTAGCATTTACATTTAGCAAACATTTACAATGAGGAGAAATTTATTTTTTTTATTCCACTGATATTTTTTTTAAATCCCAATCTTCAAGCTATTTTCAGATATTAGGATGATATTGTTTATGCAGGTTTAAAAAAAAAATGTAATGTATATTTTTGAAATGTTTGTGATTATTTATATACATATGTATGCATTTGCAGATTTCAGTGTCTGCACACTTTACAGACATTCACATGCATTGAGCTTTTTATGTGTAGCAGCTATATATGCAATTCATTGATGTTTCCATATTTTAACTATATAAGCAATATATTAAATATCTATACTTTAGCCACACATTGCTAAGCAGGTACTGATAAATTGGTGTCCTGGTCAGTAAATCAATTTTTGTTAATGCTTATGAATGAAAAATGAACTTTGCTGGATGAATCCAGAGGTGATGACGAGTAATTCAAATCTCAGAGTGAGAGTTCCTAAATGGGCAAAGTGTTTTTATCCATAAGAATATTTTGTATGGCTCTTAAATTTGTTTTTGAAAGCTAAGAATTCCCACTGTATTTTGTATGCAATGCATCTAGCCTGCATTTGTAAACTACCCACAAGTAGTTTATTGGTCGCGTTTGATGCTCAACTAATTCTTGGTGTGTAATGTGTAATCAGGCACATCATTTGATCATGGACATAGGTTAGAGTAGTTTGTATTTTGTGATTGACTGGAAGTAGCATGTAGACCTAGATTTTGAGCATAAATGCTTTAGTATGGGCCAATTTCCTAGCCACTATTTAAATGCCTTTGCATTCCAGCAGGTGTTTCCGTCATTCACTTGAAGATTGCCATTTCGAAATGATGCTACTGAACTCAGCGCAAGAGTAATCACAGAAAACTAAATTATAGAACTGAACTCTATCGTTAAAGCAGTGTTATTTTTCACATGTGCTCATTTATAAGGAAGTTTTATGATTTTTTCCCCCCCCTTAGACTAAATCATATCTGTTACCTTCCTGAGCTGAGAAGAAGCTATTACCTCCCTGTCCCTGTTTGCATTTGAGCCTGGTGCCACCTCTGCCCATGGTTAAATGCTGACAAACGTCCTGCCAGTGGCGAGGAGCGGAGCGGGGAGGCTGCGGGAGTGCAGAGGGACGTGTGTGTGCTGGGACACGTTGATTTGCTGGGTCACTCTGCTAACGTGTTACATGGAAAATGAGATTCCGATGGAGGACTTTAATAGCAAACAAACAAACAGCTCCTTTCTTTGCCATAGTGTTAGATCTCTGTTCTTACTACCAATTAACAGATTTTCTTGCATTCTTTTGCTTTTGTTGTGCTCTGGAGGCACCTGGAGAGCCTGGAAGGAACCCGGGCTCCCTTCACTAAATAAAAGCCCTTGCCCATATCCTAGGGCTGTTTATTTCATTTTCTTGCAGCCAGTTGGCTGTCTTGGGTACTGACATTATTTATGCATCAAGCTTATACTGTGTCTGCTACAGTATTAAATAGATCTGGTTTTAAAATAAAGCCCAGCCATCTTCATAATTTTCCACTTCTTAAACCACAGGACAGTCTAGGGATTAAGAAGTGCTGCCATGCAGTCCCTTGGGTACCCCCTGCATTGGCTTGGCTAGTCTGGCAGATGGGAAGCAGTGACTTCCCACAGCCCTTAAAGACAAGACAAACTGAGGCAGCGCCAAGGAGTGAGGAGGTGTTTCCAAAGGACTGAAGCATCAAAAGTTCCACAGGAACTAAGGAAAAGTTTCTTAACAGGGAGGGTGACAGAGGCCTGGAACAGGCTGCCCAGAGAGGTTGTGGAGTCTCCTTCTCTGGAGATCTTCAAAACCTGCCTGGATGCCACCCTGTGCTCTAGGTGACCCTGCTGGAGCAGGGGTTTGGACTAGACGATCTCTAGAGGTCCCT